GAGGGAGGGAGGGAGGGAGAAAAAGAAAGAAAGAAAGGAAGAAAGAAAGAAAGAGAGAGAGAAAGAGAAATAGGAAGGCAGGAAGGAAGGAAAGGAAGGAAGGAAAGGAAGGAAGGAAGGAAGGGAGGGAGGGAGGGAGGGAGGGAGGGAAAGAGAAAAAGAAAGAAGAAAGAAAGAGAGAGAAAGAGGAAGGTAGGAAGGCAGGAAGGAAGGAAGGAAGGGAGGGAGGGAGGGAGGAAGGGAGGGATGGAGGGAGGGAGGGAAAGAGAGAAAGAGAAAAAGAAAGAAAGAAAGAGAGAGAGAGAAAGAGGAAGGCAGGAAGGCAGGAAGAAAGGAAGGAAGGAAGGAAGGAAGGAAGGGAAAACCTTGTGTTAATGGGGGAAGCAGAGGCCCAGCGGAGGATTTAAGGCCCATCCAGGTAATCAGGGATGCTTCCAAGATGGCTGACTTCATAGCCCCTGTGAATGCAGGTGGATGGGGGGGGCAGCATCCTGGGGACGGGGCAGATCCCCTCCCACCATCGTGACCAGGACGTTGTATATGCAATGCTTGCGTTCAACGGCTTAGGAATGACACCAGGCAGGAATGGCCGTGCATGCGTGTGTGCATGCGTGGTGAGGGGCCGGTGGTTGGTTCTCTTGAATTTCCCACAAACTCATACTCCTGCCTTCAAGATGCCCATGCCCTGAACTTCTCCTCTCTCTGTCTCCCCACCCCGGGCTCCCCGCTTTCCTCCTCTCAGAGCCCAATACTTTGGTCCTCTTATGGAGGAGGGGGGTGTGGGGGGAAGAAGGAAAGCAGAGCCGAGCTCCGGAGCGCACAGATCCGTCCGATCAATTAGCGGAATTACATTTTTATTTAGAATGGAAAAATGGACCATTCATCGCAGCATGTAGCTCTCCATGCTCTGATGACATGGAGGTTAAATAGCAAATGCTTCGCAGCTTCGTTATTCTACAGCTGGAGTTGTGCTCGGGCTTTCTCCTCTCCCTCTCTCTCTCTCTTTCTCTCTCTAATAGGATAAATGAAAGGAAGCCAGAAGGAAGAAAAGAGCGACATGTGGCCATGACTGCTCACCGAGCACTTTGTCCTTGACCGGAGGGCGTCCCCGGCCGTTTCCCAGGGGCCGGATGAAGGAGGGATGGGGTGTTGTGGGTTCGGCTTGCTTTGGTTTCGGCGTCTCACGAACCCCGGGATGACATTTGTCTCTCTACAGGCAGACGCATCCACCCCTCCGTTTCCAGCAGGGACAACTCACCCGGCCGGCATGTGTCCAGTTCAAAACTTCCAGGACAGGAAGGGGGGTATGGGAACAGAGAGGGCCGGGGAGACTCGTTCAGGCATCCCCCGAGGGCCCCGGGGCCTTGGGTGTCCGCTGGGTGCGTGCATGCGTGTGCGTGCATGCGTGTGCATGCGTGCAAGGGCGGCCCTGGGGCTGAACCTCAGGGGGGCTGGGAGGGAGGAGCACCCCCCCAGCTGAGTTCAGGAGAGGAGCACTCTCCCTCCTTTCCTCCCACCCACTCGGCCGACCCGGCTCAGGTCAGGGCTCCCGAGGACTGGGCCCTGGGGGATGCAGTGACTGCTTCCGTCCAGGGGCACGTGTCATTGTGTCCCCCCCAAACTTCAATGTCCTCTTCCTCTTCCTCTCCCTCCTCCTCTTCCTCCTCTTCTCCCCTTTCCTCCTTTTCCTCCTCCTCCTCTTCCTCCTTTTCTCTCTCTTGCTCCTTTTCTTTCTCTTCCTCCTTTCCTCTCTCTTCCTCCTTTCCTCTCTCTTCCTCCTTTCCTCTCTCTTCCTTCTTTGCTTTTCCTTCCTTCTTTGCTCTTTCTTCCTTCTCTGCTCTCTCTTCCCTCTCTGCTCTTTCTTCCTCCTTTCCTCTCTCTTCCTTCTTTGCTTTTCCTTCCTTCTTTGCTCTTTCTTCCTTCTCTGCTCTTCCTTCCTCCTTTGCTTCCTCTTCCTTTGCTCTCTCTTCCTTCTCTGCTTTTTCTTCCTCCTTTGCTTCCTCTTCCTTTGCTCTCTCTTCCTTCCCTGCTCTTCCTTCCTCCTTTGCTTCCTCTTCCTTTGCTCTCTCTTCCTTCCCTGCTCTCTCTTCCTTCTCTGCTTTTTCTTCCTCCTTTGCTTCCTCTTCCTTTGCTCTCTCTTCCTTCCCTGCTCTCTCTTCCTTCTCTGCTTTTTCTTCCTCCTTTGCTCTCTCTTCCTTCTCTGCTCTCTCTTCCTTCTCTGCTCTCTCTTCCTTCTCTGCTTTTTCTTCCTCCTTTGCTCTCTCTTCCTTCTCTGCTCTCTCTTCCCTCTCTGCTCTCTCTTCCTCCTTTGCTTCCTCTTCCTTTGCTTCCTCTTCCTTCTCTGCTCTCTCTTCCTCCTTTGCTTCCTCTTCCTTCTCTGCTCTCTCTTCCTTCTCTGCTCTTTCTTCCTTCTTTGCTCTCTCTTCCTCTTTTTCTCACTATTCCTTCTTTGCTCTCTCTTCCTTCTTTTCTCCCTCCCCTTCCTCTTCCTCTTTTTCTTCTTCCTCTTTCTCCTCCTTCTTCCTCTGTTTCTTCATTCCCTCCAAAGTTTTCTTCCTCTTCCTCCTCTTCTTCTTCCACCTCTTCGTCTACTTCTTCCTCCACCTCTTCCTCCACTTCTTCCTCCACCTCTTCCTCCTCTTCTTCCTCCAGCTCTTCTTCCTCTTCTTCCTCTTCCTCCTCTTCTTCCTCCACCTCTTCTTCTTCTTCCTCCACTTCTTCCTCCACTTCTTCTTCTTCCTCCACTTCTTCTTCTTCCTCCACTTCTTCCTCCTCTTCCTCCACCTCTTCTTCCTCCACCTCTTCCTCCAGCTCTTCTTCCTCTTCCTCTTGTTCTTCTTCTTCTTCTTCCCCTTCCTCTTCTTCTTCTTCCTCCTCCACCTCTTCTTCCTCCACCTCTTCTTCCTCCTCTTCCTCCTCTATGTCTCTTTCTTCCTCCTGTTCCTCTTCTTCTCCTTCCTCCTCCTTTTTTCCCTCTTTTGCCTTCACTACCTTTTTGTGTTCCTCCTTCTTCCTCTTCCTCCCTCTTTCTTCTCTTATTTCTATTGCCCCTTTTCCTCCTCCTCCTCCTCCACTTCCTCCTCCTCCGCTATCTGTTGCTCCTCCTCTTCCTCCTCCCCTTCTTACTATTGTTCTTCCTCCTCCTCCACATCCTCTTCCTTCTCCGTCTCTTCTTCCTTCTCCCTCGCCTCTTCTTCCTCTTCTTATTCCTCTTCCTCCTCCTCTTCCTGCTCTTTCTGCTTGTTCTCCTCTGCCTCTTCTTCCTCTTCCTCTCTCTTTTCTTCTTCCTTTCTCTTCTATCCCTCCTCTCCCTCCTCCTTTTCCTTTGCCTCCTCCTCCTCCTTTTCCTTTCCCTCCTCCTCTTCTCTCTCTCCTTCTCCTTCGTCCTCCCTCCTCAGTGGTCTCGATGGCACTGAAGGGCAGTGTTTCTGTGAGGTGCCTCTCCTGCTCCATGCTGGGCTGGGCTCGTGTTCGCCGTTGGAGGAAGCTGGCGGGCGGAGGGGCCGGGAACTGTTCACGGGGCTGTGGGTGTCTGGGGAGGAGAGGGGACCCGGACGTGTGTGGTGCATAATCGCATCAACACTTCAGTCCTGGAGACGAGGTCATTCAAACGCAAGGTCCTGGTGGGCCTGGCCCACATCACACGGTTCCCAAATGTTGGAGCTGGGAATCAAACCTGAGTCTGTGGGTTGGGGAGCCAGTGCGCTCTGTGAGAGGGGCGGGCGGTCCTGAGCGGGGCGCTGGTCACCGGGCAACCACAGCATTCTACCTTCCGCCTCCACTGGATGGTTCCCCCCGCCCTGCCCCCAGGCCAGGCTCCCCCACTCCTCCTCCACACTGGGAGGGGTGAGGAGACCGTTCCTCCCTCCATCGGGTTGTCAGCAAAATTAAATGAGATAATGAACCACCGAGAGCTCAGCACGGCTTCGGGGATGAAGCTCAGCGCCTGACCACTGCCCGTGATTTCTCTCATCACTGCCTATGATTACAATGCATGGACTGCCAAACGGAAAAGCAGACTAGTTCCCAGAGCCGAGCCTGACAACAAAAGTAATGGGGAGGGGGTAATCAAGCAAGTGTGAGCCCTGTCTCCCTCCCCAGCCTGCGGCCACAAGCCCTCCACAGCGCACATACCGGATGGGAGAGGCAGGCCAGTTCCATGGCAGCCCATGGAGAGCTGGCCAGACCCCTGGCCACCTGGAGTCACAGAGGCTGATTCGCTAGGACCCTCATTTTGCCCTTGTTCCTCACAAAGTCCTGTCCTCAAGGTGGCAGTCACTGCTCTGGCTGTCTGCGCTGATGTTCATACGCCAATGGTTCCCCCTCCTTCAGCCGCGTCCTGTGCCTGTCCCTCCTCCCCTGTCTCCTTTCTGGGCATCGACTCCAGCTCCCCCTCTCCCAGCCAGACGAATCTCCCTGGGTGCCTAGCAGCCATCGTGCTTACTCGGGGCCTTTGCACTGGCCTCTGCTTCCTTCTGGAATGTTCTTCTCCCACGGCCATCTGGCCCACGGTCACGTGTGTCGCTTCTTCTAGAACATCTCCCCCACATGACAACCATCTCCCTGGCCTACAGATTCAACACTTCCTCACCTGTCCCCCACGTTTTCCACCTTCTGTGTGCCCACCCTCCGGGTGGCTGTTCCAAGAGACCTGCGGGTCTCCACCGAGCAAGCAGCTGCTTGGGGACTTGGAGTCCCACAGGAGCCATGTCTGGGGATCTGAGGTCAGCAGTGCTCTGAGTCGCTCCTCAGTGCACCCCAACAACAGAGACGTGAGCCCAGGTGTGGGAAGCCCTGAAGATCAACGCCTGGGCCGGGGAGTGGCGTGTCTCATGGATGACCCTTTGTCTCTCGCTGGTTCTAGAACAGAACCCGAGGCGCAAGAATCCCTCCTTGATGTGTTTGAGGGACCAACCTTCCCTCTGGATGGTTTCCCCTAGGAAGAGGATTTCCAGCAAGATCTCAAGGAACGAGAGACGCTTCTGATCAGCAGCCGGGCCAGCACGCCCGGGGAGCTGGCTGGAAGACCCAGCTTCTGCTTCGCAAACGGATCGGCTTTCGCCGGAAGGAAAACAAAGGAAGATGTCTCCCCCGCTCCCCCCCCCACGACCCCTCCCAAACTCGCACATTGTGTTCTATGTTTAACGCGTCTTGCACTGATACCCTTGGCCTTGGCCCACAGTATCTCTGAATCCAGGAAACCATTATGACTGCTTGGGGTCAAAGGTTGCTGCTATTGTAACCCATTTCCTCCATCAGAGTTTTAAATTTGGAACATGTCCTTATTGTCATTGTATAGCATGTCAGCTCTCAGATAACCTCGGGATTATTTTTATTTAGCCACCAGGACCACCACCTCCCCCTACACATCCCTTCCCAAGCCCAAAAAGTTGTGTTTTTAAAAATGACAGAGTAGGAGGGGGCTTTCCCCAGGACGTCATGCTCACAGACAAGCAGATAAGAGCCAGCTGAGCCCTCCAGCCCAGAGCTGAATAAAAGCCAGAGAACACGTCAGATTCCCAAGCGCCACTCCCCTCCAACTCACAAAATAAAATTCGGAGTTATGTGTCTTTTAAGATGACCGGGAAAGGGAATAAAAAAATAAGAAATCAGGGCTGGGAAGGTGGCTCCGTGGTAGAGCGCTTGCTTTGCATGCATGAGGCCCTGGGTTCGATTCCTCAGCACCACATAAGCAGAAAAAAGAAAGAGCCAGAAGTGGCGCTGTGGATCAAATAGTAGAGCACTCGCCTTGGGGGGAGGCCTCACATGGAGGACACAAACAGAGTGCCCGGCGTGCAGCAAGTTCTAAAGTGCCGTGCCAGCCCCAGCCTGAGCAGAGATCTTAACCACCTGAAGACTCAGTTTCCTCATCTGTCCAACAGGTTTGCCACATCCTTGTTACTTACTTTACAGGGAGGGGGGGGCTGGGAAGAGAGCAATGCTTGTTTGGTTCAGTGCCTAGCACGTGATAATTAGAAATAACACAATAACGTGATAATTAGAAATAACACAATAACGTGATAATTAGAAATAACACAAATTTCTTCCCCGTTGGTGGTTCACACTGTGGTGGGCTGTACATCAGAGGAATTAAAAGAGCAGCTATGCCGGGCGCTGGCAGCTTGCGCCTGTCATCCTAGCAACTCAGGAGGCTGAGATCTGAGGATCGAAGTTCAAAGCCAGCCGGGGCAGAAAAGTCCATGAGATTCTTATCTTCAAAGAACCAGCAGAAAACCAGAAGTGGCACAGTGGCTCAACATGGTAGAGCGCTTGCCTTGAGCAAAAGGAGCTCACGGACAGCGTCCAGGTCCTGAGTTCAAGCCCCACGACTGATAAAATAAGAGCAGCAAATGTTCACTGTGTGCTTCCTGTCTGTCCGGTTCTGGTCCTGTTGTCTTTTGGGGTGTCATCTCCTCGAAACCAAGTGCTGCCCAACATGTCTGCTTCTCCTTCCGCACTGAGGTCAACTTAGGCATCTTCCCTGTCCCTGGAGTCTCCAGTGGGCCACGTGACTCATTCAGGCCAGTGGGATGTGGGCAGGCATGTGTGACTTTGTGCTCATGGCCCAGTGAGACGTGATTGGCAGTCCTTGCTGCCCAAGCAGCCGTACTTGTAGGCTGTCCCCGCTCCCCTCACCCCACCCCAGATTGGCTCCCCTCCCATTTGACCAACTCTTCACCTCGTCACACTCAAATTCCAGTTGTGATGGAGGATGTTCAATCTGAATCCATCTGCAATGATCTAGAGAAGAGCTAGATCACCTCGAGATCAGATCACCAAGAAGGGGTCTTGGGCCTCACTCAGTAGGCCAGCATATCTCTAATTTTCTTTCTGGTGTTGACTGCTGCTCTGGGACCCAGAGGAAGGGTGATGGAGAAGAGGCCCTGCCCCTGCCTGGGAGAACACCAACCCCGAGGGAGAGAGCGCCCCGTGGTGTTAAGCCACGGAGACGGAGCCATCACTCATTGCTGCGGCCTGATCTGGCCGCTCCTGAATCCCACTCCACCCGAGGGGAGAAGGAAGGCTCCCACCCCCACTCCACAATGGGCACAGAGAGGTCGACAACTCCACCAGCATCCACGTCTCACACCAGCAAGCGTGTGGAGCGGGGTGCAGACGCATCTCGGTCAGACTCCGAAGTCTATCACCAAGGGTCATTTGTTTGCACCGAGGCAGAGGTATGGACCGACCAGGAGGACTTTAAACAACACGGAGGATGCACACACAGCACAGGCTGCCCGAAGACCTGCCTAGGAAATGGCCATCTTCTCCTGAGAGCTGGAGACGGGGCACTGAAGACACCCTGGTGCCCAAGACAGACTGGTAACTCTGCTGCGGCAGAATGGCCGTGTGTGGCATCCGGAACTAAGGCTCCGGAAGCTGACTGCGGAGCCACAACCCACTCCACCCCCACCGGAACCCCGGCTTGTCAGAGACCTCATCCCACAAGCTGGGGTCGGGGCCAGGGAGAGGAGGAAGAGGCCAAGCTCCTTCTCAAATAAGGTACCCTCGCCACCTCTTTCTCCCCTGAGTCCCAGGTGAAGGGGTTTCCTTGACTAAAAGAGCCAGCTCTGAACGCTGGGTCTCCTGTCTCTCTCTTCCCAGGAGGCCCTAGCCCAGCTGTGGCTGAAGCAAATAAAGACACAGCAAGCAGTTAAAATTAAATTTCAAATAAGCAAGGAATAATATATTGGCGGAACCCAGAAAAACCCATGTGTAATACTTGAACTAAAAACTCAGGTTTGCTGGGTATGGTGACTCACGCCTATAATCCCAGCTACTCAGGAGGCTGAGATCTGAGGATCACCATTCAAAGCCAGCCCAGGCAGGAAAGTCGGTGAGAT